GGCAGGAGGAGCCGGAGGAGACAGGAGGAGGCAGGAGGAGGCAGAAGGAGGCAGCAGGAGGCAGGAGGAGGCAGGAGGAGGAAACGCTGCCTGCTTCCCGTCAGCGAGGAGCTGCAGGAACATTTAGTGCTTCACGTGTTCACCAGGAGATCAATGTGGGAACACTTAGAGACCACCGCGGTGGAGGAGACCACATGAGCACAGAGGAACCAGAGGAACCAGAGGAACCAGAGGAACCAGAGGAACCAGAGGAACCAGCACCGAGCTGGCAGCCAGAGGGAAAGACACTGAAGGGACACAAAGAGACACAAAGCAACAGGAAACTAGACAGGAAACAGTAAAATGAAAAACGACTGTAAACAGACACAAAACAACCACAGAGACACACAACGACCAAAACCAAAACACAAAAAACACAAAGAAAGCAAAAAGCTATCAAACAAACACACAAAACAACCAGAAAGACAAAAAAAAAAAAAAGGGGGAAAAATGTTCTGAAAATGACCCAAAACGAATCAAAGACGAGGTCGGACCTTTAAAATGAAAAAAACATGAAAACAACCATAAAATGTGAAAACAACAGATTGTAGGCTGTGATCTAATGAACACATGAAATGACAGGACGCTGGAAAAACAGAAGGAAACGTAGAAACACTGGAAGAACGTGAAGCTGAATCTGTTTAGATTCAGTAAAACAATCATTTTACACGTCGTACAGCGATTCTGGTGTGGACGTGGTGTTTAGCTTTCCTCTGGGTTCACATGTAATGAACGCTGATCTTCTGTGAGTAGAACTGAAACTCGTTCCCACTGTTCTGCCCTCACTTCACATCACAGGAAGAACGTGTAAACTAATGTTCTGGGGATTTAAATAAAGTAAAAACATTAGAACATGTTTGACATCAAACATTGTAAAAACTCTTTATAGATTGTTTTTGATGGTTTATAAACATATTTAGATGATATTTGGTGTAACATAAGCAGCCTTTACATTATGTTGCTCTGACACCTGATAAAATAACAACGTGAACCTTTAACGCTACAGAACGTCCTATTTTAGGTGGAACGGACCTTTAACTTGTCAGCGCCGGTACAGTCTCGGTGCTGAAGCTGCAGACACACAACTGGACACAGGAAGCAGCACAGGACAGGCGTCAGAGGGCACGACTTTATTGTCACCAGATAAATATACAAAACAAAAGTGCTGTCGAGTATAAATGAAGCCTCCCCGCGTGGAGACGGGCCACAAACTGAACATCCAGAGCTGAACCGGCTTCGACCCGCTGCCACCAACCCAGAAAACAAAAACCACCAAGCAAAAAACCCTCCAGAGCCTCCAACCGGACCCCCTCAGAACCAGCTGGTTCTGTATCTGCAGCACCTTCATCTACTGACCAGAGTTCTACCTTCAGACTGTGAATGTTCCAGAGGTCCAGGTCCTTNACCGGGTCTGCTGGGAGCCGCTGGAGGAGCTCATGAAAAGTTAACGTGTCTCATGAATGTTTAACAGCACGCTGCTATTGTGGAGCCTAACGGGACGAAGAGGAGGAAGAGGAGGGAGAGGAGGGAGAGGAGGGAGAGGAGGAAGAGGAGGGAGAGGAGGGAGAGGAGGGAGAGGAGGGAGAAGAGGAAGAGGAGGGAGAGGAGGGAGAGGAGGGAGAGGAGGGAGAAGAGGAAGAGGAGGGAGAGGAGGACGAAGAGGAGGAAGACAAAGAAGAAGAGGAAGAGGAGGGAGAGGAGGAAGAGGAGGGAGAAGAGGAGGAAGAGGAGGGAGAGGAGGGAGAGGAGGAAGAGGAGAGAGATGAGGGAGAGGAGGAAGAGGAGGGAGAAGAGGAAGAGGAGGAAGAGGAGAGAGAGGAGGAAGAGGACCAGGAAGCAGGACACAGTCATCAGCTGTCATNTAATCAATAGGCTCATTAAGTCCTCCGGTAGGAACAGTTCAATAGAAACACACTCTGCCTCCCGCCGCCGCACCAACCGGCTGCTTCCTCTTCCTCGCCATCGCCGCCGGCTTCTCCTGCAGCAGGTTCAGTTCCTCAGAGCCGCCAGCCTGGAACACACACACACACACACACACACACACACACACACAGACACACAGACACACAGACACACACACACACACACACACACACACACAGATCAGATCAGATCAGATCAGATCAAACAGCAGTGATGGTCACTATCACCACAGAGGAAATAAACTCTAACGTTGGTTATTTTGCTCAGACTTCCTGTTTCATGAATCACAGACTGCATCCAGTCAAACCACAGAAAGAACGTTTTCATTTGCATGTTAAATAATAATAATAAAATGATGCTGTTCTTTAAATGTTCAAATCAGCAACAAATATCATTATTTTACAGATATTTGATATGTTTTTAAATTTTTATTTTTGTTGGCCTTATTCAGAGCAGCAGAGAGAGACAGGAAATGAGGAGAAGAGCAGGGAGAGACCTGCAGCAAAGGGTGGAGAGCAGGAGTCCAACCCACGACCGCTGAATCTGGAAGCTACAGCTAACTACAGCTAACTATAGCCAACTACAACTATGGGTAACTAAAGCTAACTATAGCTACAGCTAACTACAGCTAACTATAGCCAACTACAACTATGGGTAACTAAAGCTAACTATAGCTACAGCTAACTACAGCTACCTACAGCTACTCATAGCTAACTACAGCTTCCTACAGCTAACTACGCAAACTGCAGCAACCTACAGCTAACTATGCTAACTGCAGCTACCAATGCTAACTGCAGCTAACTACAGCTAACTACGTTAACTACATCTAACCACAGCTAACTACAGCCAACTATAGCTAACTACAACTAGCTATGCTAACTACAGCTACCTACAGTTAACCACAGCTAACTACAGCTAACTATGCTAACAACAGCTACCTACATCTACTTTTCAGATATTTGTTGTTGTGTGAGAGACCAGTTAAAGTAAATAACGAGTAAATGACGTCCACATAAAATACGTACTTTTAAAACGGAAATTCATTCTTTTACTATATGTGAGTTTTTACTGCATTCAAATCAGAAAAACAAGTTTCTGTTATTTTCACCGTTTGTACAGTTTGTTTTAGTGTTGGACTGTTTTTAGTTCTTCTGAAACCTTCATGAACAGATTGTATTTGTCTTCACAGTGAACAGAGAAGGAGCAGCTCTGCAGTAAACGATTGTTCTCACGTTGTTATTTCAGCGTGTTGTGAAGGACAAAGGTGACATCTTTACTGTCTGAATATTTAAAACTCGGTTCTGTAAATCGATGCAGAACAGCTTCTCTGAACAGCTGGTGTGTTATTTTGTCTCCAGAACCAAGGAAAGGCTTAGTGAGATGAAGACACGTGATCTTTTGTCTCCAGCTCTGACCCGCCCACGCTGCAGGGTCCAGGTTCTGGCTCAGTTCTTACCGTCGGGACAGCTGGTCCTCCTTCTCCTGGCTCCGGGAGCTCTCTCCTCCCACCACCGACGTGGCTCCGGCCGGCAGCTGGCTGAGCTGGTCCATCACCTCCAGGCCGCTCTCCTCAGCGATCTGGTGGATCAGGTCGTCCACCTGCTCCTGAGGCGTGGTCAGGGTCATGGCCGAGCTCATCGAGTCCTCCATCACCTGGAAGACAGAACAGAACCACACGGGGAAGTCAGACCAGAGCGGTTGGGTTTCACTGCTGGAGTCCTCGTCAGCTAGAACCCACCCCAACGTGTGCTCCCTGAAAAGACCTGCTAAACGACATCATTTATCAGAGTCAAGAACCGTAGAAACACAAAGACTTATATTGGACTAATCCTGTCTGACGGGCTCTTCTGTCAGAACACAGAACCAGGCCTACTGCAGGATCAGGAGACGATGTTAGCTCTAGTGACGGTTCCTGGTTTTTACATTTCGGTATAACAGTTTAATAAGTTGTCTTATTTCTGTGCTGCTGACAGAAGACATCTCTGGGTTCTGTCTCCTCCTTCATGTGGTTCTGGTTCCACAGAGCTGCAGGACTTGATGCTGTGAAGAAAACTGAGACAGGAGGAAAGACAAAAGGCCCAGAAGCTGCTGTAACACTCACTGAGGTGTGGACGTCGAGGTTCTGAACCTGGGTTTCAAACTTATCCATGACAGCAGAGACCTTCTGGAGGTCCATGGAGTTCAGAGCTTTGTCCAGGGCCTTGGTCACCTGACCCATGTTCTTGGTCACCTGATGGGAAGACACATGGATGAGATGTTTCACACTGACAGACACAAGAAGCAGCGTGTGAAGCCAGGAGCTCACCCCCTTCATGGTGACGGCCGTCTGGACTTTGGAGGCCACTGCGTCCACCCGGGACGCCATACGCAGCCAGTTGAGGCCTTCGTTTTTTTTCCGGATGGCATTTTCTGCGTAGACTCTGGCACATTCCACGTTCTTCTGCTGCAAAGCCTGTTGGTGAGACGCGAGCGGTTAAACGTCTTCACCTGTTGGACACGAGCACATGGATCACGTACAGCTGCAACCACAAGTTCACACACACTAAGATTAGGAAAGCCCAGATGATGATGTCATGGCTTTGGAAGCTTCTGATTGGTTAACTGACAGCCTTCATTCTCGTGACACCGACAGCAGTCCTTCAAAAAGGTAAAATAATGAGCGACACCCCACGGATACAAGCAGATAGGAGAGAAAAACCCAGACAGTAAACACACCATCACCAACCCAGGGCTCTATGATGCAGATAAAGCTGATTATTTGATCAACTCATCGACTGTTTGGTCCATAAAATCTCCACAACGAAGAAACAGCAAATACTGGTTTAGTTTTTACTATATTTTAGTTTTTGAAAAAATAATTTAAAAAAGAGCAAAATAACAATTTGATCATCAAAACTAATGAACTTAGTTTGGACTAATCGTCGGGATTCAACTCATTACTTTAAAATGGAGAGAAATGGAAAAATAAATGTTGTTCATTTCTTTTCAATCACGTATTTGTTTTTATTAACCTGCCCAGACTCTAGT